AAAAAGAATGAGTTTTGTGGGATTACACAGTGTCACAAAACAAAATGTGTACGAACTGTTAAATGTAAATATGAACCTTTGTAAAATTTTACCCAAATGAAAAAAAAGTTAAAGAAAAAGAATGAGCTTTTATAGGTGGTTTTAGTTTGTTTTTAGTTTTAATTACTGAATACATTATTTGTTTTTTTCATTGTGCTTTGGGTGCAAATTTACAAAGCAAATTTGATTTACATTCAATAGTTCATGCACATTTGATTTCACACCCCATTACCATCCCCAGCCATAAAAAACTCTCCTCTCCTCCCCTCCCTGTGACTACTCCCTCCCTGTGCCCTTGTTAACTATGCATTCCAGTCTATCCAACTTTCCCTCTATGTGAATGCTGCCCCTCTGGAGTCTCATGGCTGATTTATCTGAGGGGTGTATTTCCCTAGAGTAGGTGGGTAGATCTCCCTGGGGTAGGTGTTCTGCATGTAGGTCTTTCTACTGTTGGGCTGAGAGCCAATCCCTTTCCAAGCGGTTGGCATTGGTAGCCAGGCACCATCTAGTTCTTCTGGTCTGGGGGTCATGAAGGCTGAGGTCCTCGTAGTCCATTGAGGACCATCTCATCCTTGGGCTAATTGTTTCCAGATGCCTTTGATCTTCTTTGGAGCTCTGGTGGCACAGTGCCTAAGGCATTTGACTGCTAACCAGCAGGTTGGCAGTTCAAACCCCCCAGCCATTCCGTGGAAGGAAGACTGGGCAATCTACTTCTGTAAAAATTTAGCTCCTTGGAAACCCAATGGGGGTCGCTATAAGTCAAATTTGACTCGATGGCAGTGAGTTTTTTTGGTTTTGATTTTCTTCACTCGTCTCTGCTTCAGACAAAAGGAGACCAATAGTTGCATCTTAGATGGCCACTCAAAAGCTTTTAAGACCCCAGTCACTTTCACCAAAGTAGGTTGTGGAACAAGATTTTTATGTACTATGCTGTGCCAGTTGAGCATGATGTTCCCTGAGACTACGGTCCTGGGTCTGCAGGCCCAGTCTCTCTCTCAAGGTGTTTGGTTGTCTCTGAGAAGTTACTCCAACTCTATCTTCTGTTGTTTCTGTAATGTAAGTGGCTAATTTTGTAGCACAAGTGCATATGTAAGATCATCTTTAGCCAAATCTATCCTTGGTCTAGGGTATATTTCTGTATGCCTACCTCCACCTGATCTTCTCACCTGTCTATGTATTTATCCATAGCCTGGTGTTTGGTGTTAGTAGTAATGCAGTATTGTGCACGTAATAGTATTTGTCTCTGCTGTCTATATCTTATGTGCATGTTTCAGTGTCCTTCCGTTCCCCAGCATCATCATGCTGGTCACAGACTCTTTCCACACCGTCCCACCCCTCATCTAAATCGACATGTGACCCCCAACTAGTCTGAAATTTTCCTTCCCCTTCCGTCCCATCCCTGGTAACCAACAAAGGAAATTTCCTTCCCTAAGTAAACCTTTTCTTGACTTTTTACAATATTTGTCCTTCTGTGATTGGCTTATTTCACTCAGCATAAAGTGCTACAAATTTATCCACATTGTGAGATGATTCATGTATTCTTCATTATTCTTTAATGTTGCATATAGTATTCCACTGTGTGACTGTACCATGGTTTGGCAATCCATTCATCTGTTGATGGGCATTTAGGTTATTTCCGTCTCTTTGCTATAGTGAATTGGGCTGTGATCAACATGGGTTTGCTCATGTCTGTTTGTATTCTGTCTCTCACCTCTTTAAGATATATTCCTAGTAGTGGAATTGCTGGTTCAAATGGTATTTCTATTTTCAGTTTTTTGAGGAAACACCATACCATTTTCCACGATGGTCGTAACATTTTGCAGTCCCACCAGCAGTGTATGAGAGTTCCAATCTCTCTTCAACCTCGCCAGCATTTGTTATTTTCTGTCTTATTGAACCCCGCTGCTATTGCTGAGGTGAGATGATATGTCATTGTTGTTTTGATCTGCATCTCTCTAATGGCTAATGATCATGAGCATTTCCTCATGTGTTTGTTGCCCACCATTATAACATCTTTAGCGAAGTGTCTGTTCATATCCCTTGCTCATTTTTGAATTAGGTTGTCTTTTTTGGTGTTGAGGTGTTGCATTTTTCTATAAATTCCAGAGATAAATTCCTTGTCAGATACATCATAGCCAAATTTTTTCCCTGTCTGCGGGTTCTCTTTTTATTATTTTGGAGAAGACTTTCAATGGGCATAAGAATTTAGTTTTTAAAATGTCCCAGTCATCTAGCTTCTCTTCCACTGCCTGTGCATTTTGGGGTATGCTTGATAATCTATTTATGCCATAGATTAGGGCCCCTAGATTTGCACCTATTTTATCTTTGATAAGCTTTATAGTTTTGGGTTTTACATCTAAGTCTTTGATCCAACCTGAGCTCATTTTTGTGTATGGGATAAGGTATGGGTCTTGTTTCATTTTTCTGCAAGTGGATATCCAATTTTGCCAACATCGTTTGTTAAAGAGGCTATCACTCCCCCCCATTTAATGGGTTTTGGCCCTTTGTCAAATATCAGCTGTCTATAGATAGATGGGTATATTTCTGGGTTTTTGATTCTGTTCAGCTGTTCTGTCTGTCATTGTACCAATATCACAGTTTTGACTACTGTGGCTGTATAGTAGCTTTTGCGATCCAGGAGTGTCAGATTAGTGATTGGTTTTTCCATGTCCTTAAAAAATGTTGGTGGAATCTGGATCGGGATTGCACTAAATGTATAGATTGCTTTGGGTAGTATTGGCATTTTCACAATATTCAGTCTTCCTATCCATGAACAAGGCATGTTCTTCCATTTATGTAGATCCCTTGCAGTTTCTTCTAGTAGTATTTTGTAGTTTTTTTTTGTATAGGTCTTTTGTGTCTCTGATAAGATTTATTCCTAAGTAATTTATCTTTTTGGTGACTATTATAAATGGTATTGTTTTCCTTATTTCCTTTTCAGAGGCCTCTTTGCTGATGTAGAGGAATGTAACTCATTTTTGCATGCTGACCTTGTATCCTGCCACTTAGCTGAACCTTTCTATTCCAGTAATTTTTTTCTGCTGAGTCTCTTGGGTTTTCTGTGTATAGGATCATGTCATGTGCAAACAGAGATAGCTTTACTTCTTCTTTGCCAATTTGGATGCCTTTTATTTCTCTTTCTTGCCTTATTGCCCTGGCTAGGACATCCAATACAATGTTAAATAGAAATTGTGATAGAGGGCTTCCTTGTCTGGTTCCTGTTTGCAATGGGAATGTTTTGAGTCTTTCTCCATTAACAATAATGTTGCCTGTTGGTTTTGCATATGTGCCTTTTATTGTGTTGAGGATTCTCCCTTCTATCTTTATTTTCTTGAGAGTTTTGAACAGGAATGGGTGTTGGATTTTATTGAATGCCTTTTCTGCATCAATTGATATAATCATATGCTTCTTCTCTTTTGTTTTGTTTATGTGATAGATTACACTGATTGTTTTTCTGATGTTGAACCATCCTTGCATACCTGGTATGACTCCCACTTAGTCACGATGTGTTTTTTTTGATAGGTTGTTGCATTCTGTTGACTAGGATTCAGAATACATTATTTGGATTAAGACTTAAAGAATGCATGTAATAAAAGCTTATAGGGTTTTATTTTTCACAAATCACTCAACAAATATGACTTAAAATTGATTCCACCCAACTATGGTTTTAAAAGAAGTTAATAAAACAAAACACTTGGGTAAAATGATCCTATAAAAGAACATAGCAATAAGATAAAAATTACACTGAGGAGTTAAATCATAAAGATTTCCAGTTCTATGAAATTAAGGCTGCAATACAATTTTTTCCTCAAGGCAGAAGTATCACAGGGATTATCCATCTTAATATTTTCATTTTACATATGAGAAACTTAGGTACAAAAAAGCTAAGTGCCTTACCAAATGTCGTATAACCAGACAGTAGCTAATGTAGGTCATTTGATTCCAATTCAATATTTTTTCACTATATCATAATATTGACCAAAAAAACCTTGGAAACTGGCAGAATTAAAGAGTAGAGAACCACAAAATTACAAGTAATATTCTAAAATACTGTAATTAAAAAAAGAAAAGTAAATTTGTTCTGCTGTTGTTATATATGTACATGCATACAATTAAATAAAACTTAGGAAGGAATATTAAAGAATAGACATTGTCAGAGTACTCACAAATCCAAAAAGCAGGTACAGATTAAGGGGATGCTTATGTCTGTTCAGAGTCAATGCTAAAATCAAACCCAAAGATCCAAGGGTGAACACCAAAATTAAGGCAGGACTGAAAGACAAAATATTACAAGTGACTTCAAGTTCAAAATAGCATAAATGGCATAATCCAACTTAATAAAACATGTCTAAGTTATGTGTTTATGAAAATACAGGGAAAAAAATGTCTAGAAAGATCCATACCAAACTGTCAACAGAAATTTTTACATCTAGAAAAGTTGAGGTAATTATTACATCTAGAAAAGTGAAGTAGAGAAGAGGAGCAATACAAATAGTCCACAATGAATGATGTTGTTGTTATGTGCTTTCAAGTTGGACCTGACTCATAGCTACCCATCCTTGGGTTTCTGAGGCGGTATCACTACAAAAGTAGATTGTCCAACCTTTCTTCCGAGGAGTGGCTGGTGAATTTGAACTGCCAGCCTTCTGGTTAGCAGTCAAGTGCCTTAGGCACTACGTTACCAGAGCTCCCCCACAATGAATAGGGGGGACTTTTCCTTCAGGAGCTTCTATCATATTTGAATTTTTTTTCTTTTTCTTTTTTACAATTAGCATGCAATCTTTTTAACTAAAATACAATAAGTAAGACTATTAAATAATAAATTTTGTACCTAATTTCTTTTTCAGAGTCTTTACCATATGGGTATAATTTAATTAAAGAGGTTACCCTGAATAACAAACTAACAGCTTAACACTTTTTTTTTTTTTTTGCAGGGAGAGAGAATAGAAACTTCTAAGAAAACCTCATGTTCTAATTTTTCCTTTCCTTTAATCTAAAAAACTTACATTACTTTAACCATGAAAATAATTATTGTGGAAGTCAGATCTTAAATGAATTAGGGGTTAATCAAATGTAGCTCTTTTGAAAACTTCCCCATAAAATTATACTAGTCATGAACCAACATTTAATTAATTAATTAATTATAAATAAATAAATCTTTTCCAAACACTGTCTTAGAGTTTGGGAATATAAAGGTGAATGAGGCAAGAGGACATTTTCTAGTTTTTAAAACTAAAAAATTAAGACTCAAAAAGATAAATTTCATGTAGTAAAAATACTTAGTATCTCAGGAGATAAAAGTTTAAGACTAAAATAATATAAACTAAAATCAATAGAGAGGTAAATAACCAAGTTATGGGGCATTTTCCTTATAAAAACAAAACAAATCTTGTAAGAGTCAGATGATAAGCTTTTCTTATACTCCCGTCTCAAACGCTTACAGAAAAAAAATAATGAACTTTGCTTATAATATGCCCTCTTGATCATATGCAATGTCTGGAAATGATTAAAAATCATCTCATTAGCTTACCTTTCATGTACAAATGTCCGTACAGACTTAAAGTATAAAAAAGCTGTACATGTCATTGTAGTTAAGAAAACTTGCAGAGAAAGGATACTATAAACTTTTCTTAGAAAGGCTGAAAGAATGAAAGAAAAAATTACATGATTATTTTCTTACATGTCTATCATATTTCTACAATCAAATTTTTTCCTAGGAAAACTAAGCTTTTATTCCATGCATTCTTTAATCTTAATACAAATAATGTATTCTGTAACTAAAAGTAGAAACAACAAAAAGCTTCCAAAGTGATTCAGAAATTGTCAACGATACCTATATCTGATCCTCCAAAAAGCATGAGCATATTAAAGAATTAACATTAAGTCAGTGGGCCAGAATGTAAACATTTTCATCAAAATCAAAAAGTATTAAATGCTTGTTTGTATACAACAGCATACGACAAAAATGAAAGATTGAAAACAAGACATTTTAAAAGAAAGATTCTGTTCTGAAACTGGAAAGGAGTTAATAGAAAGCATATGGTTACATACAAGTTTTTTTCAAAAATTCTTAATTTCCACAGCAGTAAAAAACTTTCCCTAAAATGAATTTTATCCTTAAAAGGTAAATATATAAACTTCACTCATCTACTTTTATTCCTCACATACAGTACCAAAAACCAAACCAAACTCACTGCTGTTGAGTCAGATCTAACTCTTAGCAACCCCTCCTTGAGTTTCTAAGGCAGCATCACTACAGAAAATAGACTGCACATATACTACAGCTGCCCCTAATTCTATACAACAGGAAATTCCTTCCTTTCTGAATATTTTATTACTAACATAAATAAATGAACGCCAAGTCCTAATGATTAAGAAAATATCATCACAAAAGTCTTCTGACATACAGATGGTATAAATAATACAATGAACACCCAAGAATCTACCCACCCATCTTCGGAAGTGAAATGTTAACAGCAGTCTCCACCTACTTTCCATATACACATACTGATAATATCCCTCTCCCTTCATGTCCTGCTTAACTGCTAATCATCTTTCAACAGTCAGCCCCCACAATGAGTTCATGTTAATGGTGGCAAAATGATTTGGAGAAGGACATCAAGAATGGTGGCACAATTTGAAGAATGTAACCAATGTCACCAAATTGTACATGTAGAAAATGTTGAATTGGTGTATGTTTTACTATGTATATTTTTAACAACAAAAAAGATTCAGCCTCTGGTCTAAAGCAGATATTCCTCCTTCATGCCCCCAAGAGATCTAATCACTTTATTTTGTAACTGATAACTCTATTTGACCCTCACATCCATTAAACTATAAAGACTGAAAGTTCCCTAATAATAACATGTCTTAATCATTTCCATACCTCAGCAGCACTCAGCTGCTAACAAAAGGTTGGAGGTTCAGACTTACCCAGCAACTCTGTGGGATAAAAACCTGGCAATCTGCTCCCATAAAGACTGCAGCCTAGAAAACCTTATGGGGCAGTTCTGCTCTGTTGCATTGTGTCACCGTCAGTCAGAATCAACTCAACACCACTTAGCAATAACAATAGCACTCAGCACAGTATATAATTTAAAAAAAAAAAACCACTACCATCAAGTCAATTGCAACTCATTGCACAGAATACCCACTAAATTTTATTTGTTCTTAAATAAATATACATTGAATGAATGAATGGTGACTTTTGCTAGTCATGGAAGAGAAAAAAATACAATTCTGACAAAGAATGATAAAGCCACAACCTACTGAGAACACTGTGCTTAGACAGGCGATAAAATCCTTGTTGAATGACTTTTACCCAACAATAGAAGATGTGCTGTTGTCTCTTGTCTGTCATGACAATACTCATGGGTAGATGTTGTGAAATTCCTTTTACAAAAATTCCTACAAAAGACCTGTCTTCCCAATGAAGGATGAATTGCTTTGATGGCATGTCAACAAATTATCAAATGATAAAATAAATCTTTTATAAAAAATAAAACAATTTTCATGAATAATAAAGATTTAAGGAGCTCTGGTAGCATAGTACCTAAGGCACTTGACTGCTAACCAGAAGGCTGGTGGTTCAAACCCACCAGCCACTCCTCGGGAGGAAGACTGGGCAATCTACTTCCGTAGTGATATTGCCTTGGCAACCCAAGGAGGGGTTGCTATGAGTCGGGGCCGACTCGATGGCACACAACAACAACAACAATAAAGATTTAATCCTTTTAATGCTCAAACATTAAATCTTAACAATTTTTCCCTCTGGAACGCTTTCTAAAATACATAGTTCCTAACAAGAGCATTACATGTTGCTATAGTGCTGAATAGGAGCTCTGGTAGCATAGTGCCTAAGGCACTCGACTGCTAATCAGAAGGCTGGTGGTTCAAACCCACCAGCCATTCCTTGGAAGGAAGATGGGGCAATCAATCTACTTCCGTAGTGATACTGCCTCAGAAACCCAAGGAGGGGTCCCGATGAGTCGGGTCCAACTCAACAGCACTTAACAACATAGTGCTGAACAGGTTTTTGCAGAGCTTCCAGACTAAAGAACTAAGAAAAAAGGCCTGGCAATCTACTTCGGAAAATATCAACTGATGAGAACCCTGTGGATCACAGTGGTGCAATCTGAAACTTGTCATAGGGACCAGGCAGCATTTTGTTGTACCTGGGGTTGCCGTGAGTCAGGAGCCCAGTCAATGGCATTTGGTGTCTTAAACAGATTTTACTGAACCTAAAATTTAACCATTGATTTATAGAATCAGTTGTCCTTTAGCATAGATATATTTGAACAACAAAAAAGAAAATAGTGCTTATGTCCAAAACAGAGCTACAACTTACTTTCCTAAAAAAGGCCCTGATGTCTTTAGGTTTGAGGTCATTTCCATCTTTTTCTTAAAAACAGAGAAATATGTATATACATATTATTGCCATGGGCGATGTTACAGGCTATCTTTCTGCAAATTTAATTATTAAAGATCAAACTATGATTCCCCCAAGGGATTGTCTGGACTGGAAAAAAAAATTCTTTATTTTTGATACCTCATTATGTAACTCAAATCTACTCTTTCTGATATATATTCTTGACCAAACAGTGAAAGTTACTGTTAAGTCTTACCATTTTATGGAATGTTTTTACAATTCAAAACAGTACACACAGAAAGATCTAATGTTTATTTGTGTATATGGGTGAGTATGTACACAATTTCATATGTAATAAAAGACTGGAAGAATATATTCCAGGGTGTTAATAATGGTTTTCTCTGGCCAGTGTGACTATTTACTGCTTTTCTAATAAAAAACATTTTAAAGAAATCTATGGTAAGTCTATAAATTCATCATAAGAAACTATCCTTATGCAGGTATTCCAGACTAACTTTTTCTACACACTTTAACAATTAAAAAAAAAAAAAAAAAAGAGGAGCTCTGGTGGCATAACAGTGGGACCTTAAATTGAATCTCAGGCAAAAAAGTAACATTTGATACTCATTTTGAATAACTAACATAGATGTGGCAAAGGACATACACAGGGAAAAAAAGATGCAGTATAAAAATACTAGCCAAACAATTTTATCTTCCAAATTTTTATTCTGAGTCCTGATCTCTCTTCTGCTTGGCATCTCAGACATAACATGTCCCCAACAGGAACTCTTAATCTCCACCCCAAAGCTGTCTTTCTCTCAGCCTTCTCATTAGTGACCAGCACCACCATCCTCCACATAGGAAGTCATCTTTGATTCCCCTTCCTTTTCCTTGTCCTCATATCTAACCCATCAGCAAGTGCTATAGCTACTGCTTTCAAAAGTAGAACAAGTCCACCTCTTTCAGTCTCTTCTGCCCTCTCCCTAGTCAAAGTATGCATGATCTCCCACCTGGATGACTGGAGGAGCCCTCCACCTGGTCTCCATGCTTTCACCCTTGCCTTACCTCGTCCCTCTTCACACAGCAGCCAGAGTAGTGTTTTATAAAGGAAACCATATTACGTGACTCCTTGCTTAAACCCTCTTAATGGTTTCTCTTAGAATAAAATTGAAAAGCTTTTATGGGGCCTACAAAGGAAGAAAGAAGTAGAAACACCAAGCACAGGGCTAGTTCTTTTAAGTGTACATATGCAGACAGGTGGAAAGAGCATTCCTCTTGTTCTTGCTTTGTGCTATCGAGTCGGACCGAACTCACAGCAACCCCTCCTTGGGTTTCCGAGGCGCTATCACTATGGAAGTAGATTGCCCAATCTTCCTCCCAAGGAGCAGTTAGTGGGTTTGAGGAGTAGCTGGTTTGAACCGCCAGCCTTCTGATTAGTAGTCAAGTGCCTTAGGCACTATGCTACCAGCGCTCCTGAGCTCTAGGGATAATGAAATCTGAATTCTACTTCCAACTTCACTGCAAAGAACTATGTTATCTTGGGCAAATGTTTTGAAACTTAAACTTCCAATAAACTATTGATGTATATTATTTTGGGGATTGTAATTCCAGGGAAAATGGTAATTACTACAAATTTTAGAATTATACCAAAATACCAGGGTTAGTATTTCTACAATAGATCAGAGAGACTTTAGTTATTCCCCAACATAATGAAAAATGTCATTCTTTCAGTCTCTAGCATTCAGCATAGCGTTTCCACCTTTCCTTGTCTCGTCACCAGTGCCCACTCCTTTTCTTAGTGAGCTCCCTTCATGTATCTGAATCTCAGCCTGTGGAACAAAGTTCCACTTCCTCCTTGAAGCTTTCCTAGATTATTCCAGTTCACACACTATGGCTCTCTTCCCTAAACTCCCTTCTGATTTGGCACGTTAGAATTTAATTTTAATTAAGTTTCTATCACAGATTAGTTTGGCTAGTAGCCAGCCTAACTGAAATGCCTTGATTACAGGGACTGTGACTTCTAAAACTTTTGTTTATTCCACTGCCTTTCCATGAACTATGATGGGGTTACTAGATAAATGTAGTTTGTTTCTTAAATGTATATTAATGATTCAAATATGTTTCCTTATATTGGCAATAAGTACCTTGACTCACCAAGACCTAAGGAATACCTTCTATTCACACACCTGATGCCATGTCCACAGAAACTTAATTTCTATTCCTGCCCTTCCCTGAAGTGACTCATTCTCTCTCTCTTTCTCATTTTTGGGACCAGCAGGGACCATCATTCTCCCTTTGGTATCTATGAGTTAGCCAGGCATTGGAATCCACTTCCCAGTAGGTACTTCCAGTGTTGTTGTTAGTTGCCTTTGAGTGAATTCTGACTTCAGTTGTCATTTCTTACTCTATTGTATCACATTGTCATCCTTTTTACAGTTGAAAATTCAGAATGCCTTCTTAGTTTAAAAAAGACACACTAAAAAGTTGAGCTCATCTGTCAAAATATTTTAAAATTTAATTCCAGAAATATAGATGCTGAACACCAAGATTCTTAGTGCATGAGAACTATCTTCCTAATTTCTTTCCAAGAGCAAGTTCCAGCTGCTTAGATAGGATGAAAATCTGGAACAATGTACATGATCAAATGGAAACCAAAAAAAAAAGAACAAACAAAAACCCAAACTCACTGCCATGGAGTGGGATCCAACTCATAGTGACCACTCCTTGGGTTTTGGAAGTGGTATCACTATGGAAGTAGATTGCCCAACCTTCCTTCCAAGGAGTGGCTGGTGGGTTTGAATCGCCAACCTTCTGGTTAGCAGTCAAATGCCTTAAGCACTAGGCCATCAGGGCTCCCAATCAAATGGTGAACTAGTGCAAACAACATATTCCACTTCCGTGGAGTTATGCATTTTAAATTCAAATTAATTACCACCCACTAAATACTGGATCACAAAGCTAATACCATGCGGGGCAAAAACACGGTATTTTGACTGCATAGGAAGCTTCCGTTTTCAGGAGCTGCCTCAGAGATAATAATCAAACAATGTTGAGTTCTAGGTCCTGCGGAGAGAAAATAGTGAGCAAGAGAGACTGGATCCCTGCCCTTCTGGAGCATATCACACTCGCAGTGAAGACAGACAAGTAAATAGAAACTTATGACGCGTCCAGGTGGCCCCAAAACTGGAACGTTCAAAAGAAAGGTTAATTTCTTCCAGTTGCACTTTACAGAGATCATATAATAAACCTATTTTCACACACACACACACACACACACACCCCTTAACTTTCTCTTAATATAAAGAATGCCAAATTATGGCTGTAGAGGTTTTCATCCTTCTCTGCACTGAAAAAGAAACAAGATAAAAGTAGTATCGGCTCCAGGATAGGTTCCTCACTGAGCTAAAAGATAAAGGGCCACTCTGCCTCCCTCCACGCCCTCTCGGAGCCTCTCGGAAAGGGGGGGAGTTCTTCCTCCGAACTTTTGGGGGAGGGCGCTCCCTCGGATCCCCAGGAAGAGGAAAGAGCGCTGTGAGCGGTTTTACCTAGACTTCCCGGAGGCCGACCAAACTGGGGAGCTCTGGTAGCATAGTGCCTAAGGCACTTCACTGTTAACCAGTTCAAACCCACCAGTCACTCCTGGGAAGGAAGGTTGGGCAATCTACTTCCACAGTGATACCGCCTCCAAAACCCAATGAGTGGTCGCTATGAGTCAGGTCTGCCTCTACCGCACATAACAACAGAGGCCGACAGCACAGCAAGACCGATGAGGGGCGGCCAGTAAGGACTGAAGGACGGAACACCGTACCCATTCGGATGTGCACACTGGCAGAGGCCACGCAGCTGCCATAGTTGAAGTCATCCTCGATGGAGGAGGAGGGGTAGCGAGAGTCTGGGTTCGCCATGGCGGCAACAGAACCTCCAGGCACCTCTGTAGAGCAGAGACACTACCCACAACGGACATTAACCGAGTTCCGGGATGAAGTAATCCAGACCAAACTAGCCGAGTCGGCTTGGCAGAGCGAGCCCGGAGCTAATCGATGATCTGGCTTCCGCAATCTGAGGAGCAGACTGTTTCAGCTTACTCCAGTTCCGCCGCCACCAAGTTGCTTCTGACTCCTAGAACTGCCTCACATGGTTTCCAAAACTATAAATCTTTAGGAAGCCTACTGCCTCATCTTTCTCCCATGGAGGAACAGGTGGGTTCGAACCTCTGACCTTTTTAGTTAGGAGCTTAGTGCCTTAACCACTGTGCTGCCCAGAGCTCCTTGCTTCAAGTTAGGATGGGGGAAAAAACGGATTATTTTTCCAGGATCATTTGAGGTGAGAGTTTTTTCAGATTTCCCTTCACAAACTTTTTAAAGTCCTCTTCTCTGGCTCTGGTGGTGTAGAGCCCAAGGCACTTGACTGGTAACCAGAAGGTTGGTGGTTCAAACCCACCAGCCACTCCTCAGAAGGAAGAGTGGGCAATCTACTATCTGTAGTGATACTGCCTCAGAAACCCAAGGAGGGGTCGCTATGAGTCGACTCAATGGCAGATAACAACAACAACTTATCTGGAGAGTTGCTAAAAATGATTGTAGTGATGTCATCAAGTACTCATCTCAGTCACTCACTCGTTCAGTAATCACACCGGGAATACAGTTTTGATTCTGTTTTAAATGATAATCATCTTTTATTGACTAAAAACATTAGCCAATCTTCATCCCATATCTCTTACCAATTACCAAAAAAAAATTTCCAGATGGATTGTAAATCTAAATGTGAAAAGCAAAACTATGAAACTTCAAGAAGATGATATAGGAGAATATCTTCATGATTTGGGGGAAGGCCAAATAATTCTGGAGCCAGATATAAAATAGTGTTTAACCACAAAGGAAAAGATTGACATATTAAACTATATTAAAATTAGGAACTTCATAGTGCTACTGCCTCAGAGACCCAAGGAGGGGTCTCTATGAGTCGGATCCTACTGGACAGCAGTGCCTTGCATTTTGCGTTACTAATCAAAATACATTGTTGTTGTTGTTAAGTGCCGTCGAGTCGTTTCTGACTCATAGCGACCCCATGCACAGCAGAACGAAACACTGCCCGATCCCGTGCCAGCCCCACAATCCCTGCTATACTTGAGGCCATCATCGCAGCCACCATATCAATCCATCTCCTTGAAGGCCTCCCTCTCTTTCGTCGACCCTCCGATTAGAAGAGAGTAAAAAAGCCATAGAGTGGGAGAAGATATTTGCTAGATATGTAATATACAAAGAGCTTACATCCAGAATATAAAAACAATTGTTACAAAATAAGAAAAAGGTAACCAATAGAAAAATGAGTAAAAGACTTGACTTGGCATATCACACACACACACACACACACACACAATCCAAATGGCCAACAAAAGTATGAAAAAATACTGTCATTAATAATCAGAGAAATGTAAATAAATGCCACAATAAGATACCAGAAGAATCTCACCCTTGGTTTTATGCTCCACTGTTGCCATCTTGAAATTCTTTTTTTTTTTTTTCTTTAAATCACTAATAGCTTTTACATTGCTTTATTTAAATAAGACAGTACCCACCATAGCTGCTAAACACTGGATATATTTGAAGTCATAAGTACATCCATATGTGCCTCCAAATGATGTTTGGGATCCTGCTTGCCAGCATTTATTGCCAGCTGTTCAGGTGTCATCTTAGCTTCTTCTACAACCTTACTGTAATTCCAACATCTCTTTTACCACTGATTAATTGTGTTTACAATGTTCACTGTAGTCCTGAATTGTCAAACCTTTCATCCAACTCCTCTTATGCAAATTTAGCAACATCCTCTAGTTCAGTTCATTAACTAATAGTAATGGAGTGATGATGTCTGTTTAGTCCATGCATTAATGCCTGGATAGATGATATGTTTAAATGACCCAGATTTATTGTTCATCTTGGTCATGTCCTAAGACCATCATATTAGCATTGATCACTGAAGGCATCAGTAACAACTTTTCCTTTTATACTCTGAACGATATCCACAACCCCATCACAGCTCTCTCCAGGACTTCAAAACTCAGTGCTGAGGGTTGATATCCACACCAGACAGCCAACAACCAAAGCCAGGGTGACTGTCATACTAACCAATAACCATCTCAGGCCTTTCTTTCTGCTTCAACATAGCGAGCATTTTGGCTTGAAACCCTAATCACCTGCCTTCACACTAACACCTGTTCCTGAATTTGGCATAGTAAACACATCATCACCACGTTCTCCAAGCATCAGACCCGTAACTTTCATTGGGACTCTAGTGCAACCATGTTTTAACATTTTTAACAATGCTAGGGAAGAGATACAGACTTGTTCAGCTATGTCCACTGCAGAACCAAATGTATGTGGCTCCTGGCCCAGTCCAGGCATACCTCCTTCAAGTCTTAAGAAGTCTGTCCAAATTTCTGGTCTGTAACTACAGCTCTTGAGGATTAAGCTTCAATTTGTTGAGTTTTATAAATTTCATCTTAGCTCAAATTATTGCTAATTTTGGCAGATACCATTTTTCCCAAGTTTTTTGTTGTTTTTTTCTCTCTCTCTCGTGAAGGTGGGCAGAAGACATGATAGTGTGGTCTAAACCTCTGTCTTGCTTTTGCGGTGATGTGGCAGTGGCAGTGGCTCAGGCTTGGCCCAGCTGTGGCTCTGTGATGAATCAGCCCTATTCCCATCTTGAAAGTATTAAAATCTTATTTTGAATGTGAATTTTGTAAGTGAAAGTTGCAGACACAATGGAGCATGAGCATGAGCAGAAGAGAGAGCACAACAGAGGTATCCTACAGACCTTACCAGGAGCTCTGGTGGTGTAGTGCCTAAGCCATTTGACTATTAACCAGAAGGCTGGTGGTTCAAACCCACCAACCACTCCTCGGAAGGAAGACTGGGCAATCTACTGCTGTAGAGATAATGACTCGGAAATCCAAGGAGGGGTCGCTATGAGTCAGAGCCAACTTGATGGCAGTGAGTTAGGTTTTTAGGTTACAGACCTTACCAATCTACTTGCATGTCCTGTTCGAGATGCCCCAGGAGAAGAGAATTCTGTTGGACCTACAATAAGTAGGAGTTTAGCTAGAATTAAAAGTCAGTACAAGATAAGCATGTTTTACCTACCAATAAGTAAACTGGGGTAGGGGTAGGGGTGATAGCCCTAATGAGCCAGGCTTTTCTTATGAATCAGAACTTACTTTGCAGGAAGCAGACTATATATAGTCTAAGAAACACAAACGACAATGGAACCTTGTCATATCCTTTCTTTCCTGTGTTATTTCTTTGCGTTTCTAACCACTTAAATTGAAAACAATGTCCTATACTCAGACTATTCCGGGATGTAGAAAAGGATGGAATCCTCCCAAATTCATTTTATGAAGCAAGCATAACCTTGATACCAAACCATGCAAAGACATCACTAAAAACGAAAACTACAGATGAACATCCCTCATGATTATAGATGCAAAAATCTTCAACAAAATCCTAGCCAACAGACTCCAACAACATATCAAAAGAATAATACATTATGATCAAGTGGGGTTCATATCGGGTATGCAAGGATGGTTCAACATTACAAAAACAATCAACATCATCCATCACATAAATAAAACAAAGGAAAAGAACTACATGATCAATCAATGCAGAAAAGGCATTTAATAAAATCCAACACCCATTCCTGATCAAAACTCTCAGCAAAATGGGAAGAGAAGTGACATTCCTCAACATAATAAAGGGCATGTATGCAAAACCAACAGCCAACATTATTCTCAATGGAGAGAATGAAAGAATTCCCTTTGCTAACAGAAACCAGACAAGGATGCCCTCTATGACCACTTCTATTTAACATTGTATTGGAAGTCCTAGCCAGAGCAATAAGGCAAGAAAGGGAAATCAAAGACATCTAAATTGGTAAGAAAGAAGTAAAACGATCCCTATTTACTGATGATATGGTTCAATACATTGAAAACCCAAGAGACTCAGCAAAAAAATTATTGAAACTAATTGAGAGATTTAGCATAGTGGATGGATACATGATCAACATCTAAAAATCAGTTGGATTCCTCTACACCAGCAAAGAGATTCCTGAAAAGGGAATAAGAAAATAAATACCATTTACAATAGCTACCCCAAAAAATACATAAATAAAATACTTGCGAATAAATCTCACTAGGGACACAAAAGACCTGTACAAAGAAAACTAAAGAACACTACTTCAAGAAACCATAAGAGATCTACGTAAATGGAAGAACATCCCATGCTCGTGGATAGGAAGATTGAACATTGTGAAAATGTCATTACTACCCAAAGCAATCTGTATATTCAATGCAGTCCCAATCCAGATCCCATCAATGTTCCTTAAGGATATGAAAAAACAATCACTAATTTTATATGGAAAGGAAAGAGACCTCGAATAAGGAAAGCACTATAACAAATTATGGATAACACTGAACTGAATGAGAATTCCAGAACATTTAATTGTATTAATGAGGAACCTGTACATAGACCGGGATGCTGTTGTTCAAACAGAACAAGGGGACACTGTTGTTGTTGTTGTTATGTGCCCTCAAGTTGCCCCAACTCATAACGACCCATCCTTGGGTTTCCAAGGCAGTATCACTACAGAAGTAGATTGCCCAACCTTCCTTCCAAGGAGTGGCTGCATGGTTTAAAATCAGGAAGGGAGTGCATCAGGGTTGTATCCTTTCTCCATACTTATTCAATCTGTATGCTGAGCATATAATCCAAGAAGCTGGACTATATAAAGAAGATCGTGGCATTAACATTGGAGGAAGCCTCATTAACAACCTGAGATATGATGATGATACAACTTTGCTCGCTGTAAGTGAGGATCACTTGAAGCACTTACTGATGAAGATTGAAGACTACAGTCTGCAGTATGGA